TTTAATTTATTTGTTCGATAAATCAGATATTCTTTGATTTGGTTAGAAATAGATGAATCATTAACATTGTTGGTAACGATCGATTGTGATTCCAATTGTAGAAATATATTTTGATATTGACTATCATATGCTTGTATTTTAATTTCACAAGCATTGAAAAGAATATTTAGCCATGAACGTTTAGCTTCCTGTATAATTTTATAACATTTATTTTTTACTTGTACTGCTTTTTGATGATTGTTCAATGGTGAATAAGTTATAGGTGTAATGAAATATTGTAGTTGATCAAAGTTCTGTGGTAAAAATTTACACAAAATTCGCATTTCTAACATCAAAAGTTCTTCATAAATTTCTCCTTGTTTTTCTCGTATTAAAAGTAATTGATTTATGAATGCATTCTAAATGAATATAAATTAATAACAAAAATAGAGATTTTATAAAAACAAAAAGAAACTCTACAGACACTAACCCGATCTGTTGTAAGACGAAATGTAGATACAGTTTTAAATAAATCTTTATCATGAAAATTGTCTTTAAATTTTAGCAATTGATTGTTATTTTTCATCAATAAGTATTTTCGTTGACAAATGGCAAATTCATTCAGCCGTTGATCAATTTGATCCAATGATAATGTTGTTATGGGACATGATGGTGATTGCCTATTCAGTTCCATTTGATATTGATCCAAATTTATTTTTAGATCATTTATATGATTCAAAAGATATTGATGACAATTTTCGAAATCATTCGTTTTAGCGATTGTATAAAGTCGATCCTACATTTTTTTTATATAGAAGAATAAATTATATGAAAAATAAATAATTGAGAATGAAACTTACTGGCCACAAATGTTGTTGTAAACCAATATCTAGGTAGGATTCCCATAATTGTAGATCTATTCGTAGACAATAGAATCGATCAAATAGATCGAGACGAGCGACAATAAATCGTTCATCAGCTTTTTCTTTAAATGTATAATTTAATGTTTTACTTAACATTTTAATAAGTATCTTTGGTGATCGCTTCAAATACATCGGTCGCCTATAACATTTGTAAAAATTAGATAGATACGAATAATGAAGAAAAGAAGATTATAAAAATATTCAAATATTTACCGATAAGTTCTCTTCGAAGTATTCTGTTGAACTTCAATAGATGAAATATTTGTATTCGTGATAGTTTTCTGTTTATGTTTCACTTTTTTCAATGCTGGTTGAAGAATAGATATTGAACTTGTTGATTTTGGTATTGTTGTATTTAGATTTGATTGCTGTTGTAATGATACATCTCGTTTACGTTTCATAAGATTTGTTTTCGATTTTTTTCGTATTGATGGATCCTTGTTACGAATAGATACATTCTTCGATGTTGTTAATGCGGTATTATTATGGCTTGTAGTGCTCGTTGAGTTGTTGGTTTTATTTTTCCTTTGATTGTGAATCTTCTTTTTTGCCTGAAGTAATTTTTCTATACTATCAGCTTTCATCCCACGTCTACGACATTTTTTTCGAAAGCGTTGATCCTGCCGATTACCAATACATTTTTTACGTGTTTTTTGTTCCCGATGAGCAGATGCAGGATCATCTATAGGATGACTCTTGTTCACGTTCATGTTTAATAGTAGATTTGAATTATTAAATAATTTATCTGAAATGAAAAACACAAGATAATGATAAAATGAAAATTAACTTAATGCTATTGAACAATAACAATAAAGAAAAAGTATATTATCCGTTTGATAGAATTATAAGTTTGATTTCGAAAGAAAATTTTCTAATTTAAATTTATAGATAGATTGAATACGTTCACCAATTTGATTACAACGTTCATTAATAAGTTGTACGAATGTTGAAGATAATTTTTCATTATTATTCGATGTATGTTGAGATGCATTTATTTTCATTACATTAGCTTCATGTTTCTTTTTATATTCTTCTCGTTGATCTTCAGCTGATTCTAGATACAAATTAAATAAAGCAATTCTCGATTGTATAGCAACTTCTTTAAATTGTTTCATTAATGCTTCTCGAATGGTTAAATTTTGAATAGAATCAATGGACGGATGATGAGATATTGTTGAGGATTCAAATGATTGACTTGGTAAATTGTAATAGGCAATTTGTTGGTTTAAAAATTCATATTCCTGTTCTGATGTTTCTTGTTCATATTTACTTTGACAAATTTGTTTCATTAGTTGTTTCTAAAAATGTAATCGGTTAAATTCAAAGAAGATTTATTTGTGTATTTTTCAAAAGAAAAAAAAACATACTTGATATTCATTTGGTTTATGTTGAAAATATTCTAATTCCAATGCTTGAATATGATAATCATAATGAATCAGTTCAACTTGATGTTCAATTTTTTTACTTAATGAAGAATTAAGATTTGGTTCAATATATGTCATAAGCTTTTCTTGAATTGATATTGTATAACCTTGAAAATTATTTGCTTTAATATTCAATTCTTGTTGATACTGTTTTAATTGACGTTGCAATTCATTTAGTTGATCATTGACAAATTTTAAACAAATTTCATTTTCATTTGTTTTATCTTTCTTGTTTGATAATACAATGGTTTTTATTTCTTTTGGCCATATTGATAAAGTTGTCGGATAGGATAGCTTTTGTTTTGTTTCATATGGAATAATCAATTGTCCTGTACCAGATTTTAAATAAGTTTTCCATAAATATTGATAAGTTTGAATAACCATAATTTTATAAAGTAAAATAGCTATTTTTCTTAATTCATCCATATTATTATTTAATTTTTCTGTTGTTGTTATTATCGACGATAAGACTTGATGCATAAGTTCTTTGAAAGATATATTTTGTTTTGTTAAATAATTTGGAATTATTTCTAGTTGATCTTTGATTTCTTTCATTATCTTGATAGGATTTTTTTCATGTGTTGCACTAGTTGATAATTGACTCATTTTTCTTGATAAATTTTGTTTTTCTATTTCCTAGAAATTATATAGATATATTAGAAATATAATCGATTTAAATTTATTTAAGACTTACATCCAATTTTTCATTGACGTTACTTTTCTCTTTAATATTCCATGGAAGATCAATTGGCATTTTATCAAAATTTTGCAAAGTTTCATCCTATAATAAAAATGGAAAATATTTGTTAAAAAAAAAGGACCATATGACAAAAAGATTTTATTATTACCTGTTCTTCTTCTTCTTGATTGTACGCATTAGCATTGTTTGTTGTCATCGTTAATAGAAAGACGAAGATTTATATCTGAAACAAAAAAGAAATGAATTTAACAAGCAAATAAACATATGAATTATTTCAAGGATTTTGTGTGATAAGATGCATTCGTTTAATATCTTAAATTCAACAAGAATTCTTTTCTTAACTATCATCTAGAACAATGACAATCTAATTATAGGTATGAATTTCGAGCTACATGAAAAAAAAGAGAAAACAAACGTTTCTATGAGATATTTATAATATTACATAATAAAAAGTATTCTTTTATTATTGAGAAGGAGTGTTGATAAATTCCATAATGACTTGTGAACGTTGTTCGATAGTGACGAGACGTGCTTCAATAATGGCAAGCATGACAGGAACAAAATCATCGATGGACAGTAGATTCATGTTGACTATTGGATTGTTATCAAGAAAAATTGTTTTCGTTTTTTCACGGAGAAATCGTTCACATGAATTTAATTTTGTTTGCCAAATTTGTTGAACAAGATGAATCTTGAATAGAAGAAATAGAAATATTTTACATAGAACAAATGATCGGAGTAAATGAAATACGAACTTGCTTTTCAGTTGGATTTAAATCATAGAATGATTTGACTAGATATGCATCATGAAAATTAACGTGTAACAAGAGTTTCTTCTGTTCAAAATGTACATGGAAAGGATTCAAATCATTTCTTAGAATAATAGCAAACGCTTGAAATACGATGTCGATCGAATTCTTCACATATATTTCATTTTGTAGGTTGAACTTGGATGAAAGTTGAGATTGATGTTTCGACAAATTATATTCCGTTCGTTGTAATTTATTTTGAACTAATATTTTTCGATGTCGAATATTCGTTTTTGTTCTCCTAGAATCCCAATCGATAGAATTTTGTTGAATTATTTCTTCTGATACATCTTCAGATAACCAAACTATGACAAGTAGATGCAAATTGTCTAAATAATTCCAATAATCTTCTTCAATTTTCAATTGAAAAAAATGACACCATAAATTAGCAAGTCGTTGAACACATTTTAACAATTGAATACATGCTAAACATTGTTGAATTTGATCATGATAAATGGTAGGAATATTTTTTAAGATTAGCTGTTTAAATGTATGCGGAGACAATCTGTTATAGTTTGGTATTAGTTGAGATGATTTTCTCCAATCTTCCTTTGATAGATGATGGACTTTCATCGGTTGTATTGATGTAGAAGATGGAATCATCCTAGTAGTTTGACATTTATTGAATTGATTCTATAAAAAAAGAAGAAAATAAAATCACGTTATCATTTTTTTGTTTTATTTCATCGTACCTGATTTTTATTCATTGAAATATTGATCGTATGATTTGAATTCCATGTAGAAGCATCGTCTTGTCGGTTTATATTGTCTATGTTTCGTTCCAGAGGCTGTCGCATCTCTATCAGCATTTTTATTCTTTGTTCAGTCAATCCTTTTGCTCGACACGCCTTTCGGAAGCGTTGTAATTTTCGATTACCATAACAGCGTCGTTTCTTCTTTGATTCGTCGTAATTGAGTTTGTGAAAGTAATTCATCCCAATGAGGTTGATGATCGATATTATTGGTATTTATGCTATCTAGAACAGAAATAACAATGTATTATTTATATTTATTGAAGATGTTATAAGAAGGGTTCAATTTTTTAAAGTTTCATGTAACATTTTATATTGTTGTCTACAATATTTAATTATTTTTTTATTTCTTTTCGGATGTGGAATATTCCGACAAGGTTTATGAAGTCGACGATGATATACAAATGGTTTGTCAAATAATCCATTATTGAATTGACGTAATATTTCAATGCCATTTTCACCAGCTAATAAACATAATCCAGTAATATATTTCCAAAATTCACCAATATGTCGTAGATAATCGGAGACTA